CTACACAGTTGGCGATGGTTCTCTATGCAACCGACGCTGGTTCTTTACTCTGCTGGTGCTGGCTCTCTACTCAGCCGGTACTGGCTCTCTACTCAGCCAGCGCTAAGTCTCTACACAACCGACAGTGGTTCTCTACACAGCCAGCCCTGGTTCTCTACTCTGTCGATGCTGGCTCTCTACTCAATCGGTGCAACCCCTTTATCCCGCCATGCACTCCAATCGGTCGGGAAAGGTCTGGGTGATCACATCATTCCCTCCTAAAAAAATATTTTGTCCTCAAAATCGTTAATCGAATAAATGGGGGTACAAGGCTCAGATTTCATCTTCTCGCGCCCACGTTGATTCTTCCATAGAATGATACTGCCATAAGACCCGGACTAGAGGAATCTCTTTGTTGCGTAATACTTGAACTCTTTTGTCCAATACCTCAATTGGTTGTTCAACATAAGTCAAATCTTCCCTAATCGGGATCGACTCATACTTCGGGACATGGGATGGATCAGGCTGATACTTCCTCAATAATGACTCATGAAACACATTATGGACAATAGCCAACTCGGGCGGTAGGGCCAATCGATATGCCACGGCTTCAATCCTTTCTAAAATCTTCAATAAACCGTGGACTCAGTTTCCCCTTTTTGCTAAATCTCATTATGCCCTTAGTTGGTGATATCTTCAGAAAACCCGATCATCCACTACAAATTCAAGGTCCCTTCTCCGATTGTCAATATAACTCTTCTGTCGACTCTGAGCTGTCTTGAGCCACTCTCGAATTAAGACAATCATTTCTGAGGTTTCTTGAACAATCTCTAGTCCTAACAGCCTTCTCTCACCGACTTCATCCCTACATATGGGTGACCTGCACTTCCTCCCATGCAATGCCTCAAAAAGTGCCATCTGGATGCTGACTTGGAACTATTGTTATAAAATTTGATATTTTTCTATTATTTGGCTTTATATTTGATTCTACTTTTTTAGTGATATGATTTTGTGATTTACCTTTTCATAAAACTATATTTCTCCCTCTAAATCTCTCCCTTTAGTGTTTTGTATCCCCAAGTCAAGACTAGTTTAAATGACAAAAGGAGGTCACAATAACTACAAAACCAGTGATACAATATTAGCCATGGATGACGGAAATATCTCTTCCAGAATATTGAAAATCATAGCGTTTTCACCATATAGGTGTTAGAAAATAAAAATGTGAGTGAAATCGTGTCTGTACATTCAGCTAGTAGGCTTCTGAAATATCAAAGAACAAATGACGTTCCTATCTTATACACGCAAAGTACTAACTCAAAATTATATTTTCTCCCTACTGACTAGAATTAGTATGCAGAAGTTGGTACTGTGCAACTCAATCCCCTGGATACCAAAAAATAAAAAAAAGGAGGTCACCATATAGTTTGCCCTATTCAATGCACTTTGCACTTGAATAACAAGTTTGTAATGCACTTGACTAAGTGAGAAAATAGTAAAAGTGAGAAAATTGACTAAGGAAATTGTGTACTGAAATGGGGAAATCAAACCCTATTTCTAGGGTAGGAAGGTGGCTTTTTAATTGAAAGATGTGACTGTTCAATAGGTAATTGTGTCCTAAATTGACAGTAATAACTACCTAACAGTTACTAATCCCCAAACATCCAATGGTTCCTATTTTCAACATCCATCGACCATCTCAACCATTATCAAATCCAACGGCAGAAAATAACCATTGCGTCGCTGCATGCATGCCATCCAATGTGAACGGCAAAAGGATTACGAGCCGCGAGCCATACCTATATTCAAGCGCTTTTGCCCATGCGTGTAATACACTATGTGTGCTTTGCATAAGCATTCACACTTTCCCCTCTATTCCACGAACATGGGTCTACGAAATGTTTTTATATAAAGGGTGCCGTTTCTGGAAGGTTGCAACCTTAAACAATTCAATTAAGGCGCACTTTAAAATTTTATCATAACATGTAATTTTGTTGTAAACAATTCTTAGTATTATCTTAAAATCTATTTTCATAGTTAGAAAATTTTAAATTTCAAAAATAGTTAAAATTATGTAGATCTATAAATATATGAAAATCTTGAAAATGAACAGTTTAGATAATGTGTTGCAAGATGCACTATTTTTGGGACTCAAAAAAAATTGTTTTTCATATTCATACATCTCGATGTTGAGATAATCGATTATAGTGCTTTTTCAACATTAAAATAACATTTTCGCCAGATTTTTGAAGGGCATCTGTGATTCTACATTTTAAGGTTGCAACCTTATATAAACTTTTCCCTTATATAAATACATCACTTTCCTTTTTCTCTTGTTCAACGAGGGGCTAAAAACCCACAATGAAAAATTTTGGAAAAACTCCAGCATTAAATTATGTTATTTAAAATTCTACCGGATATTTTGTAAAACTAAAATACTAACATTTCTTCTATTATTTTAAAGTATTATACAAGAACTTACACAACCGTACATTATTTACATACCACAAAGGTATCATTCAATTTGAATTTTCATGGTAGCCTGTAGCTGTGAACCATAAATCTTATCCAACAAAGAGGTAGCACAATAGACGATAGTATATATTTTTTATGTCTTCTACTTGCTTGCATGTATTGGGCTATTTCTTGTCTCATGATTTCATAAGTACTCTAGAGACATGTCTCATTTCATAAGAATGGGCATCACTTCTACAATTATATAGGTATGTTTATCAATGTGCCTGTGTATATAATAACACCCTGACTTATCAATAGTCATAGACATCATTAAGGGTTTAACTCATCCTCCCTTACATATAGGTCATACTACGCTTATCAACCATATGTATTTATTTAGAATGAATGCTTATAATACAAAATTTATGATTGGTGACCAATTAACCAGATGATCAACTACTTGTTACCATTGAACCTAAAATTTTGATATTACAAATAACTAGGTTGAGTTACTACTGATGATATCTTATGTCTTGAGGCTGTTTTTCAAAGGTTCATCCAAGTTGCCATTTAACTTCATATATTCTAGACTCACTACTCCACTCTAATTAACATTTTCATGGAGCATGGAATATGTGTACATTTTCTATTATATGCATCATAATATTCTTTTGCAATTGTAGCAGGTTTATCATAGCGAATTGTGACGACCGGCATAGGTTTTAGCCATATTAGTGGGTCATACAATAGATTATTTAGTCACGGTACTTGGAAAGCATAACCTAAAGCTGTAAATTCTGACTTAGTTGAATGTGAAAGAAATATTTGTTTAGTTGATCCCCAAGATACCGCTCCATCTGCTAATGTAAATATCTATTCGGTTGTTGATAATAAATCCTAAATCTCCAGATTCCAATTTGCATCACTAATTCACTATATCCTTTCAATTTTTCGGAGTAAACTATATAATGTATGTCATAATTGATAGTAATTTTAAATATTTTGATACTTAGATATTATTCAAAGGGGTTCAAGGCTAGGTGGTCAAGGTGGTGTGACCACAACATGGCCTTTTGATTTCTATTTCTACGACAAACGGGGGACCTTTTTTGTGTCGATCAACACAAAAAAAAGAACTACTAAAGAGATTGCTTCCCAATGCTCTCTATTGGAAACTCATATATCTACCAAGTTTCCCTACCGCATTTGTAATGTCATCCCTCGTGATGCTCATTGCTTACAACAAACTACCATTATCCTTGCATAGCAAATTTGATAAATACTTCTAAATTATTTTTATTTAACTTTATATGAGGATTTATCAGCACACAAAAGCTAATTTGCCATCACTATACTCAAAATTATTGAGCATTTTCTAAATATAGTGAAATTGTACCAATGCTAACATATTTTCCATATTTTCCTTCCAAACTTTCTTGATACTAAGTATCACATCAATCTCTCTCAATTCCTTTACAACAAAGTTAGATGTGAAATATTTAGCTCTCTTATTTTCAAGTTAGCCAAAGGTTAATATGTTATCCACATATATGCATATAATGACACACAATATTGTTCTTTTTACCATACACACATTTATCGACCCTATTTTTCTTGACTATAACGAGATTCAACTAATTTACCGACTTTATTTTCTTATCCAAGCATAACATATCGATTGAGCTATTTCATAGATATTTCATCTAGTCCGTCATCAAATAATGCGATCTTAACATTCCTTTACCGTATAGGTAGGTGGTTAATTGAAGCCATTGCCAAAAGCTAACTGTTTAGTAGGTGTTCTAATCACTGGGGCATCGGTGTCAAAATAATATATGCCCTCCTTTGTTTAAACTATTTAGGTACTAATCATGTCTTAGACCCATCAACATTACACTTTATTTTAAATATCCATTTACAACTTATAAATTTAGAACCTGGTGGAAGTTCCACAAATTTTGATATTTTCTTAGTAAGTGTAGAGTTCATCTTACTATTAATGGCTTCTCTTTAAAATGTTGAAAGATGATAAGGAATCACCTAATGAGAAAAGATCTTCGCTATAGGCATTACATCAAATACCTTCTCTTGGCTTGCTTCCACTACGTGAATGAAAAAATGCAGACTAAACTTATTCATAGGATCTCTTCTTGCTCTTTTACTTCTTAGTTCAGCAACTATATCGAACAATTAGAAACTGCTAGCCACATTTTTAATATGCTGATGGAGACACCTAACTGAAATGAAATTTAAAAAATACCACTTTTTAATATTAAATGGAATTATTTGACTGCTTAAGTAATTTGTAAGATTATTTGGCCATCTAATTGTTTATCTTTTTGTTCAAAGAGTCAAGTACAGGATTTGGCTACAGTTATTATTTATCATTTTCTTTTTCCTTCTTTTCCTTAAGGTTTGACCAACACACTACATAATTATCCAAAAGTTGACAATGAACCACGGTTGAAAGAATAGTTGCTGGTGTGGATATTTTATTCCTGATATCTATTTGTGCTCCAATTTATCTCATAGAGAAAGATCAGACGATTTTCACCTGCGATCAAGTTCACCGAAAAGCCTATGCCCTCGAATTGTTTAACATAAACTTTGTGCCAAGTTTGCACATCCATTAACACAAATCTCTAACCAAATATGTTACCAACTGTTCATCAAATCTATTCACATGTTAACTTCTCCCAGTACAAAAATAGCAAATAGATTCGTACTTTGATAACAGGACTTTGTTATCTGAGATATGCTTTGATCAGTATGATAGTAGATATTTATTCTCAGTCATTCTTGTCATCATTCTCCACCACAGCTTTCTCCGATGCTAACCCTCTGTTACTGGCTACTGATCGCGCCTGTAGTGTAAATCATCAGAAATATTCATTAAAGTTCATCAGAAATATTCATTGAAGTTTCGATGCATGTATTCCACAGAAGAAAGATCAATAAACAAGCACGATCTAGAACTTGAAAGCATTACATGATAAAAGACCAGACCTCTCAAAGCAAACCTTACAACCAGAAGGTTTGCAGTTGTCAATATTAGATGTATGGGCTGTTTCTTGCCAATAGGTCTGTTGAAAATTGAGGGTAGAAATTTATTATCTAGGACTTTAGTTATTGTTTATTAAGTTTTATTCTGTAATTAAAAAGTAAATTACACAACCTAATTACACAGGCTCATGCCCTAAAGCATTCTACGCATTTGATCCTTTCAGGTATATTAACCTCGTTATGATGGACGATGAGTTTTAAGATTCAAGCCTCTTTGAATGAGGGACAAATTTCAAGCTTTTGGACCTAAAGTTTCAATCATCATCATCATCATCCAAGCCTCATCCCAACCATTTGGGGACTTGGAGTTCCAATAATAATATTTATTTGTGAGTTGACATACTCACATACTTTCTTCTTATATAAGCATCAGAAACCAGACTCAAGTTGGGGAAAACAGTGGAGTTAACCTCCAAGAGACTCAATTAGCTCTATTTGACCTTCACAACTTTGATCGAGAAGCAATGCACGATGATAAAGATGATAGAGCAACTAAGTTTCACTTCAAGGTTGCTGATTTATATAGGAAAAGGATCCTCCAGCTCCTTACGACTGGCTTACTACACTCCCTGGTACAACGTGAATGACGCCAGAAAGAAAGAACAGATTCATTCAAACTAATGGGATCAGCCAGAGTTTGGTGGCAAGGTGTAGAAGACAAGCTCCATAGGTCAGGTCAGCCTGCCATCCAAATTTGGAAGCGGGTTAAAGCTAGCAAGAAGAAATAACAGGAACAGATGTTGCTCCAGAAGCTGCTCACCCTTAAGCAAGGCAACAAGGCAATTAAGGAGTATACTGATGAGCCATGATCTTACTCTTCACAATTGACTTTCTGAGATTGATGATCAGCAAGTTGCAAAGAACAGGATTGGACTTTCTTTGGAGGTCCAGCAAGAAATGGGCACTGCGAGTACATGGGAAATTGACAAGACAAGCATCATGATGCAGTACCCCTTGTTCGGTACCATCTCCATCTGCTAAGAACTACCCAGTAGCAGCCCTTTCAAGTCTCTGCAAATTACCATGGTCTCTATTACAAGAGGCTTCAAGAACAAGGGTGAGAGGAGTTGCCAATGACGACGACATCAAACAGCACCAAATAAAACATTACTGGAGTGGTGGGGTGGGTCATGCAGCCCTTCAATACCCCTCCAAAAATCTAAATTTGCTAGAAGGTAATACTGAAGAAGTTGAGCATCCTGAGGAGGTCAAAAAGCTATTCGAGATGAAGAAATTGAGGCCTTTTCGAGTGATATCCTTGTTGTCAAACCTTCGCCAGGCCAAAGGACAATCAAGAAGATTGGGGGCACACGAGCATTTACAAACCTCATATAAATGCAAAGAGAAAGTTTCCAACCTCAATGCACGGTGGGAGCACCACCAAATGTTGCTTCAAGGAGTTTGTTGACAAGCTCAAAATGAAAACCAATGAACACCCCACCCCTTACGAAGTTGCTTGGATGAATGACACCATCATCCCAGTTACCTGTTTGGACGCTTTTTTGATAAATAGCTCTTACTCCGATCAGGTTTGGTGTGATCAATGTGCAAGAAGGCGGCTGCGGCCAGGGGTCTGGGCTGCCTAGGAGGGCGTCCAGACACAATGGCGACGTGCGTTGGGGGGAGGCGCAGATTCTTGTGGATTGTTGGGCCCCCCACACCTCCCCTCCCTTTTATTGTATAAGGAATTGGCATTATTTTATTTACTAAGTAACTCATCCAAACAATATTAAAAAATGGCCATCCAAAAAATAACGAATAGGAAATGAAGTGGGACAAATTGTTACATCGACCCTTTAATATCTTGAGTTCTTAACAATCCAAGGACAAAGTAAAGCAAGCATGATCAAGGCAAAAAAAAAATCTAGGAAAACCCTACAATTCAAAATTGCAATGATCTAACACAAAATCGAAATAAAATATTACTCGTGCAATTATTTAATAAGCAACTACTAAACTAACCCATAAAATATTATAGGGATAAAAGTTATGGTTTATGAATCATACAAGTAAACTCATGCATAAAATTTAAGAAAAAAAAAAATTCATCCGGTTTGGGGGCAATGGATTTTTTCCATTGAATTGCTTTCCCAAAGATCCAAACTAGATATCAAAATGGCAAATAATCCAAAGTAGTTTTTTTTTGGGGTGAATAAGAATCCAAATAGTTGCTAACATATCAAATACATCATAAAGTATCAAAAAGAAAACAAAAAAACAAAGAATAACATCATAAGAAATTGTGAACAAAAACAAATACATAACCTAATAAAAAATATTGAAATATACCAACCTTCTTGAAATGGAATAGATATTGGCCCGAACCGGAAAGTATTGGTTCCCAAATCTCCTCTTTTACAACCACTATAAGCCTCAAAAAGATTGGAGATGAATATTCTTTAATTTCGTGAGCATTCGAGGACGTTGAAAAGAATTTCGATCTCTCTACAAATCTTCAAATCTTGTTTTTTTCAAGGTTTTTATCACTCTAAACCTTATTGAAAACATTTTGGGGGGAAAGAATGGCCCCAAAACCCTTTTCCCCCCTTTTTAGGAGGGAAAGTGACTGAATTACCCAATGGTCAAGGGGCACTTTCTGCCCTCAGTCTCCATTGCTCGAGGCAGCACCTAGGCACCCACATTTTATGCCACCTAGGCAGGCGCCTTGATGCACCTGCCTGGAGCACACTGCCTAGTCCCCACCTAGACGGTTTGAGAAAATGGCCGCCCAAACAACAAGGCAGCCGAAGTTTTTTTCATTGGGTGTGATATCCTTCCTATGACTGTTAGCCACATTCTTTAGGATACCCTTGACTGTATTATAATAAAGTCAACTTGATGATGAAGCCAACACGTACACCTACAGGTTACAAACAACAATATGTTGCAACTTTTGAAGTAAAAAAGTCCCCCAAAAGAAGCCACCATCCCGTTAACTCCTTGACTAGGGCCCTTTCTAAAGGAAAGTCAAGAAAATGAGGTTTTAAATGAGTTGTCACCCATGAAGGACATTGAGTATGCCAAACTTCTCATTCCTGAAGCAACTCTTAGAACCTCCCTCTTGGCACATAAGTATGATAAAGCACGCAAAGTTTTGCCGCAAGTTGGAGAGTTGTCGACAAAAGGATTTATTCTTGAGAGCATGTTTTCCTAGTGCACTAGCTACCCTCCTCACTCCCAAGAAGGATGCTACATGGAGCATGCGCCTCAAAATCAAGCTATTAACAAGATCATAGCGAAGTATCACTTTTCTATTCCCCAATAATGATATTCTCGACATGCTGGCAGGACCCACTATGTTTTGGAAGATCAAACTTCGCAGTGGCTATCATCAAATACATATCTGACTAGGAGATGAGTGAAATACCGCTTATAAGACAAATGGCATTCTCTAACATTGGTTGGTTGCTCTTTGGGTTAACCAATGCTCCTAGCACATTCATGAGGATGATGACTCACACTTTGCAACCTTACATAGGCAAGTTTTTTGTCGTCTACTTCAATGACATTCTTGCCCATGGTCGGAACAAAGAGGAACATGAGGGGCACCTTCCACAGGTCATGAGAATCTTGCACAAAGATAGAACTCTACATAAACCTGAAGAAATGTTTCTTTATGACTCCAATAGTAGTCCCTCGGGGATATGTCGTCTCTTCCAGAGGCACATGCGTGTAATGTTTCAACCCTATGTAAATTCTATTGCTAACTACAAATATTTTTTCAGTTTTCTCTGATAATGTGCAAGAGCATGTATAACATCTACAATATTTTGCACAGTTGGGAAAATAGTATGGAATTAGTCTGTCTGCAACACAAGACAAATTCCAAGTTGCAGTAAATGCTGTTGATTTTCTCGAAGCACACATCTCTGAAGGACAAATTACCATGCAGCGTCATGTACTCCAAAAAATAGAAAAGTTCCCCTATCAATTGCAAGACAAGTTGCAATGCCAGAGATTTTTGGGATGCCTAAATTATGTTACAGAATTCATCCCTGCTCTCTCAGAAAAGACAAGGCAAATTAGAAAATACATGAATAAAGATCCTTTTAGATGGGAGGAAGACGCTATAAAGGAAGTGCTATATTCAAAGTCATTAGCGTAAAAGCTCCCTCCTTTACATCCGATCCAACAGGGGCCATTTATCATAAGCACAAATGCTTCTTCACAAACATGGGTGGCTATATTGTTGAAAAAGGTAGATAGAGATGAGGGAATTTGTGCATATATAAGTTTTCAGTTTAAAAACATGAACTAAACTACTAGCCAGCAGAGAAAGAAATTCTGGCAGCAATAAAAGGATTAGAAAAGTTTCACAATTACTTAATTAGGAAGCAATTTATTTTGGGAACAGATTCCCTACCATTGGCCAGCCTCATGAAGACCAAGTAAATAAGAAATCTGAAATTATGAAGGTATGCTTGGTAACAATTCCTACTATCTCAATATAATTTTACCATAAAGATCATAGCTTGCTAGATATATTAATGAGAGCAATCAAAATAATGAGGACAGTGCCAAAAATAGAAGACTGGTTGACATACCAAATGGATACCCTAATTACAAAGCAACTATTCTGCTAGAAAATAAGACGGATATTTCCTAATAGAAGCTCTAAAGGTCGCAACTATCCATCTATAGATATGCTCCTTACATTTTCTAGTAAAAGCATTATTGAAAACATTTTGAGATAAATCTCTTTGGAGCCGGAGATAATTGCCTAATTAATTCAAAAGAAAGTATTAGCAGTTGAATTATGCTAACAAAATAGCAAGAGACTTTTTAATAAAGTTGTTAGGGT